TTTGTTCCTTGTTCAAATTAATTTAAAATGAGCTAAATGACCACATTCTTTGAGTTTGTTTGGGGGGAAAGCTTAATCAATTTGTGTTGAGACAGCATAAAGGAATTGTGTGGAACCTAGAATTTTTTACAGTGTGGGGAAGATGCATTCACGTCATGTCATAATTATCATAGTATGGAGATTCCAACTTGTAAAGTGCATTAATTTATGAGAAATCTACACCTTTGTGTAGCATTCCTAGTGTTGATGTTTACATTGTTACATTGTAAAAAGGCTGGGTTACACATAAATACTTTTTGCTGGGACAACATGAAGGAATAAAGTAAAATTAATAATTTAAGTTAAAGTTAATCTAACATCAAAAAAAATAAGTTGCACCCCCAGCTTAATTTAAAGTTTTAGGTAATTTGGACAAGCACCAAAAGTTTTTTTTTTTTTTTTTTTTGCAGTGTAGAATCTTTTGTTGGACATCAAGGACATATGAAAATATAATACTATTACTGTTTCCATCATGTGTTCTTGTATAAATGTCTGCCTCAACTGACCACATTTTTAAAATGCACTTTTATGCGCATCTTTATGTTTCCATCAGTTTGGTTAATTGTTTTTGCATTTAAATGTGCATTACAATGTGTGCTAGTGTGTAGACTCAACCTATGAATGCCTTAATTATTAACTTAATAATTTATTTATTTAAAGAACATTATTTTAACAGGTAAATGAATGTATAAAAAGTGGTGAATGAATCTTTCATCTCTTTAATTTAGTCTCTGGAATGGTAAATGGGTAGACAGCATATGATTGTACATGTGAACTTCATCTTGAGCTAAAATCCATCATGGTTTCTCATTAAATGTGGCAAAACATTTTGCTGATTTTCTTTATCAGCATGTATTTATTTATTTTACATGAATCTGTTGTGGAAAATAATATTTTAGATGTCGTGGATGTGAAAAAATGCTCTGTTTTGTGTGTTTGGATGTAGTCAGGTTTGCGGTCCAGTTTCAATAAATAAGTTATTCTAGTAAATATTTTAGCCTAGTTTCGGGTTAGAATCCTACAGTATCTAAACACTTAAATACTTTCAGATAAGTGTAATATGTTCATGCGGGTTATATTTGATTTTAAAGCTATATTTCTGCCTGAAACAGATGTGTAAAGTGTTCTATATGTTTACTTGTGTTGTCTCACTTTAGTAAATGCTCATTAGGATATTTCATTGTGTACTATTGCTTAATCATTCAAACAAATATGATAGCATTCACATATAAATATTACATGATGTGTATTTGCTATTTTTGCATCTGTGTTATCCAGGGTTTAAAAAGAAACCATATGGAACTACATCTATATATTTAAAAAATGTCTATTTTAAAGCCCTTTTCTGAATAAAATAAATGTACTGGCTCCTGAAAGACTCGTTATTATTTATAATTCATTGTTTTTATGTCAAACTGGCATTTTTTAAGCACATTTTCTTCAGATTTTTATGAATATAAATAAAATAAAAACTGAATAATATCCTGCACAATGCAACTATAATGTATAATCTGTCTATTTAAACTAGTTAGTGCACTTTTTCTGCTGCCACATGAATTTCATCTGAAACTGTTGCTGCTGTTGAATACAGACATTCATGCAAAAGCTAAATGAGTCAACACTGTGGCAAACAAATGAAAGGTCAAAACTATATTTTATAGGAGGACCACTGTTTTGCGCATACTGGCAAGCTCAGCAGAAATAAGAAACACACATCAAATACAATTCATTAAGTGCAATGTCACCTTGATCTTGGAGGGTTGCCAGTGGTATTTTAGTAATAGTGCTATATTTCTGCTTCATTCATGATTAAGAAAAAAACACTGCAAGTGCATTATCAAATTAGATTTTAGTGAGCATCCTTGAGATGGACAAAATGTGCACTGTAAGCAATCATATAGGGCTGGGTAATAGGGTGGGGTTATTATTAATCTTTATTTTTTTTAGCTTTGGCCAATTCAAGTTAAACAAAGCCCAGAAGAGATCATTCATCAACAATTAAATTTAATAATAAGTTTACCTTATTAAACAACATAATAAGGTAAATGCAAAATCATAATTTTCATCTTACTATTCTGACATTTGATTCATTAATATGCATTGTGTTCTGATATTGAAGGTTTCTGAAGAATTTCTGCTAATGTACATTTCATTTAAAACGGTCCGATTGCTTAATAATATTATGCATAATGCTGCAAAAATGCATAATTGTCTGTTTAAACTGATTACAGCACTATTCTGAATGTACATATCACAGTTTTAACTTTTTTTTTAACTTTGAAAAATCATAAATGTGAGAAATCTTGTAATAAACTGTACAATAAACTTGTAAAATCTGAAAAATCCGAGATCACTTAGTTATGGGATGACAAATAAGCTATCATTTTATCCTCTATCACATGGTGTTGCCATGATATTTATGTTAATTTCCCTGCCAGTTTCTTTAAGAACATCGTTCTAATTTATTTATTTATTTATTTATTTATTTTTGTTGGAAAGAGAAGAGTTTTGTTTAGCCAATGAGGTGCTTTGGATAAGTCACATTACATGCAGTGTTTTTATGTGGTGTGATTTTCTGACAGACTGCGTTTATTGTAAGTAATTGCTAAATGCAAATTTAAACGTCAATAAAAACAAAAGGATCGAATTATGTCAGATTCACACATCACCTCCAGTAAGTTATGATGACATATTTACAAATGGGAAAAAATAATAAATGATTAAACATAATAAAGAAAAAAACACATGAAAAAAAAAACCTTCAGAAATGTATTATTTAACAATAAAGAGGTTATAACTTGTAGGTCAATTCGCAACTGCCAGGAAACTAACAAGAAATAAAACCACATTTTGCACTGAAAATGAAATAATATATCTTATAATATATTATTAATAATATATTAATAATACACACACATTATA